AAAAAAAAAAAAAAAGATATCATCATATAAATATGTGGCTGATTTATGTTTTAGATGATAATTAAACAATTCACCTATGACCACAACAGCCAATAGAGGGAGTACATTTGTTTAGTTAATTAGCCAATCATTTTTTTTCTCAATAAAAAAAGTATAATTTCAAATTAAATACCATACTATAAAAAAAATATTAACAAAATGCGATATTTCGCGTAGCAAGTATACATTTTTTGTTGCAAACTAATTTAGCGGTTATGTTGTTTCATATAAGAATAATTTGTGCTTTCATATCGAAAATATTAAATCATCAATATGTTTTTTTTTTTATTTCAATTAAAAATAAATTCACAAAATTTTAAATAAAAACTGATAGATATATTTGTTTTTATTTAAAAATGTAAGATTTTTATAAATAAAACATATCAACTTAATTTGAATATTTTTAAAAAATAAATAAATAAAATAAAAGAGAGATGCATGAATCAACGTCACTGCCTCATTATCCGGCAATCGGCCCGGCCGATAAAATTATATGTGTGGAAATAATAACTGCCAAACATCTAAAGTCACTATTACTTTATTTATTTATTTTTGTATTGTTATCACTTATATATCATGTAATTTTTTATCACCACGTTTGACTAGTGAAATGTATTTATTTTCACAATATAATTTGCATCAAAAAGCAAGGAAAATTAAGAGTCTTCGTTTGTGTAAATTAAGGTTGATCATACAAGATTTGCATCTTTTGAAAATTAATAATAACTTCAAGTTGTTTTAAATTAATTGTTTCACTAAGTAAATTCCTTTAAAATGATTCATAATGATCTCATCTTTGAATATACATACATACATGCATACATACACATCCATAAACATACATTATATGATATTTCAATTTCATGTTAGTATATTAATCTATTTATGCATTAATAAACATACATTAATTCTGCACATTTTTTTTTTTAAATAGATATACATAATATCGTACATATTGATGCAGTTATTTGATATTTCAATTTTTAAACTATAGTATGCTAATAGACTGGTATTGTCAGACTCGAGCTGCAAACGAATTGAGCTGCTCTCGAGCGGCAAAACTCGGTCCGAGCTCGAATTTGACCGAACTCGAGCTGCTTAAGCATGTTACGACTCGATCTCAAGTATAAGCTTTGGAAGGTCGAGCGGCTCGAAATATATAGTAAATTACTAAAATATCTCTTATATATAAATATTACAATATTTTATGTATGTACTTAGTGGTAACTTTACTTAAATTCAAATCGAACTGGAGCCGAGCTCGAGCAATATGTCTAGCATTTTAATTACAATCGAACTCGAGCGATTTCCTTTTTTTGTCGAGTCGATCTCGAGCGTCATAAATCGAGCTTCACGAATTCGAGCTCGAGTAGGTAAAAAAAAAAAAAAATCTTTCTCGATAAGGCCGAAGTTCGACTCAACTCGGCTCGTTTGCATCTCTACTCAGGCCAATTGGCTTGATCATTTTCATATATGAGTGAGTTTTGATCCTTTTGTAAATTCATCCTCTTTGATTTAAATATAACACATCCATTTTTGTTATATTCTTAGTATAAAATCAT